TCCACAGGTGGAAAATAGCAGCATAGCCTGGTCTCTTGGCTACATGCTCAGCCTGACCAACCAGATCCCAGCCGAAGTTCCCCTGATCCGCCTGCCCATGAAGCCACCTACCTTCATTGGCACTGTCGCCTTCTTCGCGGGAATGGCCTTGCTGTGTCTGGCGTTTCTGGTGTACCTGTGTGTGTCATCCAGGAATCAGAGGCGCTCCCGGCATACCTTGGACCACACAGTGGATTCTGACTAAGCCTTGCAAAGCAGCTCCTGGAGCCTGAGGGGTGTCTAGGTCCCACCTGGGTGGCGCTAGACGATGCAAGCAAAACGTCCATCTTCGGGAAACACAGCTAAAGTCAAATACCTACGTTGTGTGCCTCAGATACTGATTTATGCCAAAGCCCCTCTCGGGGAGTCCCTCGGCTCTTCTGTGCACACTGCTCCTCCAGAGACCCCACCACCCACTTGCTGACCTCTTGGGGAACAGAGGAGAGACGGGCCATCAAGGTGAGGCTCTTTAATCCAAATATCCCAGAGGAAGAGGAAGCTGAGACTATGACAGTTTAGTATTGAAGAGTTGACCTCAGGGCTCAGTTTGCATTTTTCCTCCCTCTGAAATGCCCTACTCTCCCTGGAAAGTTTGGAAGCTGGCGGATGCCCATTAAGCATTTGGTCCCATCGGATGTCTCATTTATGGCTTCCTCCCATTGGTCCTTAACTTTAAGACTTTCCTTTAGCAATCCCATAGCCACTGAGCTCCTTCAGATTGGTAGAAGACAGTATTTGGGGGAGAAGACCCCTTTACCCCCAAGGACAGTAGCCACAGTAGGCCTCTGTCATGCAGGCAGAATCAGGACAGAGATACACAGAAAGTCTCCCAAAAAACTGCTGGTCACTCCCCAAATAGATTCCCGCTCAGGGCTCTGGTCATTAGACCGCAGCCAGTGGTACCATCGCTGTCACCTCCCTTTCACCTTGCTCTTGTCCTCTTATAAAACATTTACTCTTAGCAAGGCTGTTGTGGTCTAGATCTTTTGGCCTTTGCTAGGATTTTGCTTAGGGCTGTCTTTCCATTGTTAGCATGGTGTGTACATGCTGCTCACCATTCCCACAGGTATACTTAATGCTGTCGCAAGACATCCTGTTCTACGATCTGCTTACCAGGTACTTTCCTAGGTCGTAGGCCTCTCCGCATAGTAGCCATAGTTCTTGACTTTGAGGAAAGAAAAGGAAGCTTCAGGGACATTTAACTCCAAAGTGGGATGAGAAAGAACTCCAGCAAGTCCAATGGCTGTACACTAAAAATCAACATTATTTCAGAGTTTGTTCGCTGAATACAGAATAAAGGACTCTTATTTTATTTTGACTTGTAGTGTGGTGTTTGTTACCTTGCACGTGGTACTCTTTCTCCTCAGGACCCAAGGTGGTATTTATGAAAGGAAATTAAGAGCATCTTCTTGAGAAAACTTTCCTACCAAATTAGGAAAATCATGCATGAATATCACCTTTATTCCAGAGAGTTCTAAGGGCTTCACTTTGATAAACTTTTGGCTCCTGGGGAGAATTGAGTTGAACATTTCTTTACCTTATTTTACATTCAAAGCTTCTGCGAGACCAAACCCTGCCCTTCAGATCTTGATTCCCACCCAAAATAGCTGCTCCCATCCCCAAATCCACCTTTGCTCACACAGTTCTCCCTCCCTAGACTGTGGGTCATCCACCAATCTATCAAAATAATGCATCTTTCTTTCTGAAGGCCCAGTTCTAGCTCTACTTCCACAAAGCTTTTCTTAAACACACCAACACACACACACACACACACACACACACACACACTATGGTCTATCTCCTGGACCACCTTCTAAAAACTAATTACATCATAACTTCTTATATCGTTATTTATTTTTGTGAGTGCCTATGGCTTGTTTCTAAAAATAGGCCACTTAAGGACAACGCCTGTCATTCATCTCTCACTCGCTCATTCAACAGACATCTAAGAAACACCTACGGGCTTAACACCTTGCCGGGTGTGATCTTGGTTTTGGTTGAGTGCTATGCGTGCATTATATATACTCAACGTATTTGTTGATTGATGTTGTTTCCATAAATGACTGAGGGGTGGACAATAAATTATAGAGATACCAGATAAAAATAGCATCTAAATCACCAAGAGTCTGCAAGGAAAAAAAAGGATATGTCTGTGCAGGAAAGAAGGCCAAAGCCCATGAAGCAAGTCGTAGTCAGCGTTTCTAGCCCATTGGGAATTTGAAAGAAGCTGTGAAATACCTGGGGTCTTCTGACATAGATATCAAAGAATTCTTAACGGATGGACCATCATGAAATCTACAGGCCGAGTGACATATCTAGTACTACTGCGGTGGGCAGATGTCTAAGGTGGTCCCCAACACCTTCATCCTCTGTGTTACTCCCCGGATTATGCTCTTCCATGGCACAGGCGATTTGCAGATGTAATTACTAATCACTTGACCTTAAAATGGAGAGATTATCTAGGTAGGCCTATCTCATCACATAAGCTCTTTAAAGGCAGAGCATTTTCTCCAGAATAGGAAGTCATATTCAAAGCATGAGAAGGATTTGACTGTTCCCAGTTTGAAGGTGGAGAAGGCCAGGTGGAACGGGCCTGAGAGCATTTCCTAGGAACTAAAAGCAACGCCTGGCTGACAGCCAGCAGGAAACAGGGACCTCAGTCCTACAGCTGCAAGGAATTGGGCTCAGCCAACAACCTGAATGGATTTGGAAAGCAGACCTTCCCAGAGCTTCCAGATAAGAGCTTGACCCAGTTAACACATTGATTTCAGCCTTGTGAGGCCCTGAGCAGAGAACCCAGGTGAGCCCACCTGGACTCTGATGTATAAAACTTCAAGGCAATAAATGGGTGTTATTGTAGGCCACTAACTTTGTGCCACTAAAGTAAACATTTTTGAAGATGGAGATTGTGAGTTGAGATTCTAGCCTGGTTGAGTCTAAAACCCACTATGTCCATCATATTTCCAGAGAAAGGCAGTATCGTGGCTGTATGGAGTTTGGCTTTATAATTTTGTAGTCCAACATATCCATTCACATACAGTCACTTGATTCATGACAGATGTCACGTCAGAGCAGTGGGAAAAAATGTGGGGCAATTTGTTTTCCATAAGGAGGAAAAAGGAAATTCGGCCTCTTCTTCATACCATTTTCAAAAATCATTTCCAGGCAAGTTAAAGACCTCCATGTGAATGATAAACCTATCAAGGTTCTGGAACAGAACGTAGAAGAAAAATTGTGAGGTGTTGAATAGGGAAAGGGTTTCTTAAACACCACAAAAAGCATTAACCATAAGAGAATAGTTGATACACTTCATTACATTAAAATTAAGAGCTCCTGTTCATCAAAAAACACCATTAAAAGACTGAAAAGACAAGCCAAAGAATGGAAGAAGGTATTTGCAACATATGTGACTGATTAAGGACCAGTTTCCAAATTACATGAAGAATTCCTACAAATCAGTGAGAAAAAGGCAGCTGATCCAATTTTTCTAAATAGGCAAAAGGCGGGCCGGCNCTTGAAGGAACTGGGGACCCATCGCTGTGTAGGGAAAAGGTGGCTTCCCTTTTTACCTTCAAATCTTGCCCTAACCGAGAAGTCTGCTGCTTTGATGGGATTTATCAGCCGAAAGATAAAGGGCCATTTGTGGTAAGAGCAAAAACCAGTGACAGAGTCCCCTTTTCCCCATTGGATGTTTATTCCTCGCCTTTCTGTTTCTCTTCTGCTGACCAGTTTCTCACTCTCTGATTCCCTACCCTGAAGCCTCCGTGTTATGTCCCATTCTGAGAATGGGTTTCCTTGTATACTGCTCCCTTACAGGCTTTCGCAGGATTCTACTACACAGCCACTGCTTTAAACCTTTCCGGGAGCTTTCCCCTGAACACCTTCAGCGCCAACACCTGGAATTTCTGCTCGCAGAGTTGGAGTCAGGTCAGTGTTTAGAGAGAAAGGATCAATATCAGTACAAAACAGAGTGTGTTCCGTTTGTGTGTATGTGTGTACGTTCTGAATTTGGCCTTTATGCTATTCTGCTTTCACCCCCATAACAATGGGGGGCGTAAGGGAGCCCACCTCCTATCCCCATTATGGATTAACAGTTCTAACCACAGGCACAGTGGTTAGAACAGTGTTTGGCACATAATAAGCATTTTATAGACTTAGAGATTCTTCTTATGTGATGCTCTATGGGGTTATTTTCAACATTATATTATTGTATTATTCTATAGTAATTTTATTATGAAATTCTGGATGATGGGATTCTTTAAATAGGACTGTTGACCTAAGGTGTTCCGAAATGTGCATTTCAAAACATGCTCGCCCGGCCTGCCTCTTACCTGTTTTGAATTTCCTTTTCAGCTCCCAATGCTGCTTCCCCATTTTGAGGAGGTGTATGCCCGCTCCTACTGCTTTTCCGCCCACTATATCTACCACTTACTCGTAGGTGGGTACAAATTCACCGAGGAGACCTGGCCCCAAATACATTTTAAAAAAGAAGTAAGTCAGAGTACAAATTGTTTTCTTTTTTTTCCTCTCAAAATAGAGGTTGTGTGTGTATGTGTGTGTGTGCGCGTGCGCGCGTGAAAGAAATGTAGAAGCTTAAAGGGTGTTGATGATTTAAACTTGCTGAATTGAAGCCGATCCCTTGCGAGCTTCCTGGGAAGAGATGATGGAGAATGCGGAAGAGGCGTTCACCTCAGACCCCTCCATGTGAGTGAAGATTGGAAGCCAAGACCCTGTGGGCTCTGAGCTCCACAAGGACAGGGCTGGTTTTGTCATCCTCGTATTCCTAGCATTCAGCCCAGGGGTGAGCCCCTGGGAGATGTTTAGTAAATGTCTGTTGAGTGAATAAATAAATATGTTAAGGATTTGAGACTTCTCATCCTAAAAAGAAGCTTCAAATACAATCATTTTTAAAAAGAGGATAGTAAGTAATTGCCTTCCATTTTACACAGATCTCAGTAAGATACAGGCTTCAGAGTATGGAAGATTCAATTAGAAGCAGCATTACATGAGAGTTTTTTCTTGGAATGAGCCTGAGGCACTGTATTTACGGTCAAGCGTCCAGAATGGTCCGAAGCTGGATTCACAGCTGTCACTAGGTGACTGTTTGGTGAAGGGGTACCTGGACATTGCTTCCAGACAGGACTCGGCCTTGTTGAATTCATCCAGCACTATGTTCCCTGGGTTCTGGGAGGGTTTTCTCGTTTCAGAAATAGCTGGTGTAAAGCCTGAAGTATGTCTGGAGTCAGTGTGTTCACTATTAGCTTTGGCAATAATTAGATTCACCCAATCACCATCTGACATGAGGCCTGTGACTGTCTACTTTTACATAAATAAAATTAAATCATCTACACAAAATAAGGATGTCTGGAGGCCTCTAAGGACTGTTGGTGGCATGTACTCTCTAAGCTTTGCTTCTAATGAATCTAATTATAAGAAAGCACATTATGAGACTGGAGAATGGCTTTCCATGGAATACCAGCTTGGATGGATACGGAATTCTAGGTTTCATGTTCCTTTCCTTTATTCCTAACGAATTTTATATCCAGCCAAATTTGCATTCAAATGTGATGGCACAAAAGATTTCATAAGATTTGCCAAACAAAGACTTACATCAAAAATATTTTTGGAGGAGGTCATGAAATAAGAGAAATAAATCCAGGAGATGTTAAAAAAATATAGGAAATAATGTTGCGGCTTAAAGATTATATTAAAAAAGAAAGCTAACACAAAGAGAAGAATTCATCTATAACAACCCAGAATTCAAGTGTAGTTAATTTCTAATATGAAGGGGGTAGGGTAGAAGGCCATAGGCTATCGGGACATAAGAGTGGCCTAAAATGCTCATTTTGTAAAGGGAAACATATATGATTTTAAGGTGAGAAAGTAAAACAAATAAACATAAGAAAATAACACTAATTGAAAATTTAAAACTAAGATATTAGGAAGAAGTCCAAATACATAAATAATCACAATAATCACAAATGGACTCAACCTACCTGTTAAAAGACAGGCATTGTCAGACTGAATTTTTTTTTAAATGAAGGATATGTTGTTTATAAGAGAAACACTTTAAAGAAACACTTAGGCTTTATGCATAAGAGCCTGGAAAGATTGAAAGTTAAAAGCAAATTTTTAACTTATCAGGCAAACATCACCCAAAAGAAAAGTGGTGTAGCTATTTAATATGTGACAAAATCATCTTTAAGATAAAGAGCATCATTCAAAATAGAGAGGATTATGACATAATCTTGCAAAGGTCAGTTCATTATGAAAATTGCAAATTTGAAACTTTTGTCCATCTAAAAACATGGAAACAGGGCGGCCGGTTGGCTCGGGTGGTTAGAACGCAGGCTCATGGTGCCAAGGTTGCTAGTTCGACTCCCACATGGGCCGCAGGGCTGCGCCCTCCACAACTAGACTGGGGACAGCTACTTGACTTGGAGCTGATGGGTCCTGGAGAAGTACACTGTTCCCCAATAAAATTTCTTTTAAAATAAATAAATAAATAAATAAATAAATAAATAAATAAATAAATAAAAACATGTAAACAAAAACTGATGGATCAACCAGAAGAAATTGACAAAGTCTGTTTCCCATTTGGACTGAGCCTCTTCTCTTAGAAACTGGATTCAGTAAAGCATTCATTCCCCTCCTTAGTCACAGACACTTCTGTGCCGAAAATAGAAAGACTTGCACAGTTATTAACTATGTCCTCTTCATACTTGGCTGTGAAGAGGTTGTGAGGATTCGTTCTTCTGACTTTAATCTGCCATCCTGGAGGGAGAGCCCTCCAGCCTTTGGGGTCCCAATGACCTGGAGTCTAGCCCAGTCTCTGCAATGTCTGAACCTGGGCAAGTCCCGTTGAACTCCTTTGGGCACAGTTTCCTGTGGGTGTTTCATGAGAGTGACAGTGGTGTGACCCGGGCATATAACTGACACCTCGACCCCTGTCCCAAGAGCTGAGCCATCTCCTCTGCTCCACAGGTGGAAAATAGCAGCATAGCCTGGTCTCTTGGCTACATGCTCAGCCTGACCAACCAGATCCCAGCCGAAGTTCCCCTGATCCGCCTGCCCATGAAGCCACCTACCTTCATTGGCACCGTCGCCTTCTTCGCGGGAATGGCCTTGCTGTGTCTGGCGTTTCTGGTGTACCTGTGTGTGTCATCCAGGAATCAGAGGCGCTCCCGGCATACCTTGGACCACACAGTGGATTCTGACTAAGCCTTGCAAAGCAGCTCCTGGAGCCTGAGGGGTGTCTAGGTCCCACCTGGGTGGCGCTAGACGATGCAAGCAAAACGTCCATCTTCGGGAAACACAGCTAAAGTCAAATACCTACGTTGTGTGCCTCAGATACTGATTTATGCCAAAGCCCCTCTCGGGGAGTCCCTCGGCTCTTCTGTGCACACTGCTCCTCCAGAGACCCCACCACCCACTTGCTGACCTCTTGGGGAACAGAGGAGAGACGGGCCATCAAGGTGAGGCTCTTTAATCCAAATATCCCAGAGGAAGAGGAAGCTGAGACTATGACAGTTTAGTATTGAAGAGTTGACCTCAGGGCTCAGTTTGCATTTTTCCTCCCTCTGAAATGCCCTACTCTCCCTGGAAAGTTTGGAAGCTGGCGGATGCCCATTAAGCATTTGG